ACATATATATATATATGTATATATATATATATGTATATATATATATATATATATTTAGTATACTAGTTAGTCGTTAATATGGTATGTATCGATATATCGATACATAGTATGTACTGACCTACTAGCACACGATATGATGGGGTGTACTGACTAACTAATATATACCGCTCATATCGATCCCTTGTTGGATCGATATATATGTTAAACCTTAATTATTGAAAATATTATTTATGATAAAAAAAATTAATATTTGTTTTTGGCTAAATTTGAAAATAAAATATCACTTGTAATTAATGAAATTTATGATAATTTTTTTTTACCGTTTATATGAACTATGAGAAGAGCTAAATGTGTTACGTTATGAACACTATTTGAGAAAATCTCATCGATATAGTCGACCAACAATTAATGACGAGATCTTACTTTCTCAAGCAAAATGTTAAAATTAGTAACAATTAATTCCTTTGATGTTTCATCTAAATAGATACATTATACATTTTGCATTGCCAAATAACAGCTTCCAAGAGCAAAATTAGTTATCATCCCTAAAGATAGCTTATGCCTTGCACTCAAAAAACTTTGCTCCTTGATTTCAAGTGATGCATTTCTAAGTTCTAACTCATCTTTTCTCCCTAATAGTCTCATATAATAATCCTGGACTAATTACATATTACTCTCTATAATTAATTAACTTTAATATTTTGATCCCTATATTTTTAAAAATTATATTGAGATCCCTATACTTATGAAAATGAAATATTTAATTATAATTTTCTTTACGTCGTTGATATATATTGATGAAAATATCACAGCTTAGCATTAAACCGAAGTAGGTAAAGTCAACATATGTTTAATGGTAAATCCTATAGTATTTCTGTCGGTAGAGTCAATAACTTAAGAGAAACATGGTTAAATGTTTCATTTTCATAAGTATAGAGATCTCGATGTAATTTTTAAAAGTATAAAGATCAAAATACTAAATGTAACTAATTATAATGAATAATTTATAATTAGCCCAATAATCCTTTACTCTTTTAAGATAAAACTTCTCTAACTATCTTATAGAGTGATTGATACTATGGGAAACATCATCAAGTCATTTGATTGAATGATTGACATAACCTAATATTAGAGAAAAAAATAGAGGTCTTTTCCATCATTTACTTTCACTAAGTTTTTCCTTATTTAATCCAACATCTTTTACTTAAAACAATAACAGAATAGATATAAATGCAAAAAGAAGGAATTTTTTGAGAAAATTTTCTAAGAGATGCATCTTAGAACCTCAAATTGAACTATTTCCAATGGATTAATGAATTAGTAAAAGATTTTATGGTTGCAAACGAACAAATCACCTTCTTTTCCCAATCCAATGTATTGGCCACATTGATAATTTTAATTGAGTCAATGATACATAAATGGTTGTCATTTCATCATCCGGTGGAGTTCTTGTTGCATTCGATGAACCTCAAATAGATTATTTATGTCCAATTAGACACATCGACAGCAAAAAAACCTTTGTTTCCTATAGGTAAAGGATTTTAGCACACTGATCTTAACATTGTTGCTTAAGGTTAATATCAGTGACAAATGCTTTTAGAGGATGTTCTTAATGACAAAAGGTTATATAGTTCATAACTAATTCTTCTTTTACGATGGATCTCAAATGGTTTATCTTGATTAATTAGAGACATAAATAGTAAATCGACCTTCGATCATAAGAACCGGTCGTCATCTATAATCATAGATAAAATATTTTAATACATAAAAAACTTATTCCTAATAATGAAAAAAATGCAAAGCTTGCTTTATCTCAATAAGATACTTGTTTTAACAAAAAATAGAGATATATACTCGTATTTAGAGAGACATTTTCATCATTTAGATTATTATATATATCATACGAAAAATATAATTAAAAATTCACATAAGTGTATTCGTCTATTTATTTATTTTGAACAACTCAAGTTTCCCATTATCTTTCACTTCTAAGTTCAACAAATTTAAATCTATTTTATCTATATAGTGTATATTTCTCCTCGAAGTAAATAAAAAAAAAAGAGGCATTGGATTGCTTATATAGTGATTAAAATAAATTATCTTTTGTGGGCAATTTGAGGAAGATGGTAATGGGACATCATTATGGTTAGCCTATCATTTAATTCACCATCAAAATTTCCAAAGGCATTTCTTTGATTTGATAGCATGTGACCTAAAGCAGCTCATCCACATCTCTGCCTTCTCAAATAATTAGTTGATGACCACATAGCAAAAGAATTTGATCCCCCCCATCCCCCCAATCAATCAACTTAATGCAAATCAAAATCAAGCATTAAATTGTTAGAGAACTATTAGCTTCTAACAGTAGGATTTTTTTCTTTTTGTCACAACGTGGACTTAATGTGCCTCACATCACATCTAATGACAATGAACCTTGACAAGTGCAATAGTGATAATTTTGACGTGGCACCATTTTGGTTTTATTGTATCCATCACCTATGGCTTGGTTAGGTTGGGGGTGGGGTGGTGTCAACAACTAATTTATAATCCTAAGGTCTCAATCTATGATTTGTTATGTGTCACGTTATCAAAGAAGAGATTGATAAAGAAGTATTTTTCAGTTGCATAATAATATCAAATGATATTATTGTATTCTATTTTAGCAAAAATGATATATATTTTTTTCGAGCTTATTGATATTGAGAAGGTTTGGATCATGTGCTTGATAAAGTGAGTGATATACAATTTTTAGTTCCTTTAAATCTTTTTTATTTGAAATATTAGGTTTTATTTTATGTTAAAAGTATTAAATTATATGGTTATATCTAATTAGATAAGATATATTATGAATATGATTAGATTCTATTACAGTTATCCGTCAATAAAAAGAATAACTAATATAGTAGGATTCCTTATGATATTAATTATATAATATGATTAAGAGATTACAAATCTTTTTTCAGTAAAAAAATTTTTTTTGTTCCTAAATCCATTCATCATAGTGATTATATGAAAGATAGGAAGAGAAAAGAATGTCAGTCTAATTCTATATCTATTGTTATTTGATTTGACATCAAAATTTTTCACACAATAAGTTCTTATGTGCAATTCTGACAACTGCATATCAGTAGTATATTGGGGAAGGACTTTTTTCCCCTTTGTTGGGAGAAAGAATTCCATGTTCTTCATCATTCAGGATCAAGAAGCATACAGCAGCATGATTAACTTCATCTCCTCTCTAGCTAGGAGATGCAGTACTCATTGACGTTCTTGTGCTTACAGCAGCAAGGAAATGTTGGTCAGCATGAGAGAGAAAGGATGAAGAAGCTTCACATATGACATTCCCAGTACAGTCTTTCTCGTCCTTGTGTTCTTCATCCGAGTCGATAGACATCCTCGAGGTGCATGCAACAGGAATGTACACCCAACGCATTGACCACATTCATGACAGACCACTGCATGCAGTAAGCGGTCACAGAGAATCCAATTTGATGATTTGTTTTCTAGACAAACTTGAAGTGCATGGAGATAAGACACTGTTCGTGATCTGTAGTTGGTGTCAGCACATGAACATGATCTCTCATCACACCACTGGCTGTGTGTGTCATCCATGCAAGGTCATCATGTCGTGTTCGACAAGGAGCAAGACACTCAATGATCTAGCACAAGTATACTACACTTATATGAGTACATGAATCCTCCTTCGCCCCACATATCTTATACAGGCTGAACAAAGCTCACACCACTCAAACTGAAGAAGAGGATCGAAGATGACAATTAGTCCGATGTTGTGATTGCAGCAAACTTTGCGTGATAGGGTTCGTGTGAAGTTCGTTGGAATTTACACCTTGAGCTATTTCTGTGATCCGATCTCCCTCTATAGCAACTCAGCGGCAGCGTCGCATAGTGGGATGTCAACCGGGCATGCTCCTCCCTGTTCGAAGGTTTCGTCAAAGAGCCATGTCTCGAGCAAGGAAATGGGGATCGGAGCTTCGGTGGCCAGCTTGATCTGGCGTTGGAAAAGGCTGCTCTCCGATACCTCGGGCGTCGACGTCTCCATCTTGAACAATGAGTCGAGTCCCTCCGGCGATACTTCGGCGCTCTTGCTTGCCATCGTAGCCGAGCCCTCGGTGGAGGCTGAGCCGGCGCCACCCACCATGTCGCTTGCCGAAGCAGCTCGCGTCTTCGGGGAATTCTTCATCCATCCTTCGAGTAATCGAGAGATGTTCTCGGTGCTCGAGGCGTAGGTGGCAGTGGTGGCGGATGATGCGCCGGCGTGCTGATTCTGCAGGGACAGGGCCTCGCCGAGGGCTTGCTTGGCCATGTGGATGTCGGTTTGGACCGTCGTCTCCCACAGGCCTTTGGAGAAGGGGTAGTAGTTCGCCAAGAGGCCAGCGTTCATGGTACCGTCGTCTTGGCCGCCCTGGATCTTCCTCAGCTTCTTCTTCAGATGGGTGTTCCAGAAGTTCTTGATGTCGTTGTCCGTCCTCTCCGGGAGATACGAAGCTATGGCTGCCCATCTGCATGCACGATCAGATCTCAATTACAGAGCCGGCCGGGCGGACAAAGGGATTCACACATTGGGATGCACCTGTTGCCGAGAAGAGCTTGGAGATGGATGATGAGCCTCTCCTCCTGATCTGTGAAGTTGCCGCGCTTGATGCCCGGCCTGAGGTAATTAGTCCATCGAAGCCTGCAACTCTTGCTGCATCGCATCAGACCTGGCCGTAGAAAAGGACAAAGGACTCGATCAAATCCCTGAAACCCTTCAGATCTAAGCACCCGAGTTCATGGAACATGTCGAAGGAGCTCGATCACCTGTGTTGGTAGGCACAGCTCTCCAGTTGCCAGGGCCATGCTCCTGGATGTAGGAGACAAGGACCAGGTCCTCTTCCGGAGTCCATGGCCCCTTCTTCACCCCTACTTTATCGCAGCAAGGTGGTCTTCCCATGCCGGGAACTCCTCCTCCTCTTCCTCCCCCAGAAGCCACACCGAGAGCCGGCAGAAGTCCAAGGCAGCGTAAGTAACCTGGACACTGACACACACACACACACGAACAAGAGACCAGATGATGCAAGGAATTGTCCGCTATCTTTTGACCCTAAGAAGAGGCAAAAGGAAAGAGAGGAGGAGATGGAGGAGGCGGAGGAGGAGGTCAAAAGAGGACAGCAAGTAGCATTTACTCCCGAGGAGGGGACTTGTGAGCTCAGCTAAGCTTGCTTGGTGGATGAACACCCCCCACACCCCCGTCTCTCTCTGCAAAGGCCGAGCATTGAATGAGGCTGCGCCGGGGAAAACCCTTATCATGACACTGCTTTGAAGCTTAGATTCGGAGGCCATTTGTCCTCAAGCATGTCTTAGTTATCCTCAGTAACAACTACCAGGGTTAACAGCTCGGAGTTGTCTTGATGATGATGATGGCTTTCTTGTCCTGCAGAAACCCTAGCCATTTATTGCATGCAATTACTGCATGTTTAGGGTGAGGTGTTCCCATACGGTGCATGAGATGTTGGGTGACGACTTGCAGTCTTCAGAGCAGAGAGCGTGCGGTTTATCTACTCAACACCCTCACACTGTGTTCTTGGAACTCCTTTGGAGAACACATCATGCACCTGTATGTATCTGAGAGGATTGCTGGCCGGAGTAAATGAAGGATGACAAATAATTATCTTTCTTAATACATTAGGATATAAATATATGACACCATAATAAATGATAACATAGTCATTTACATAGTATAATTCTTCATATTCTTAGAGTTGCATGTATCTCATGTCTATACCTTTGATCAATTTGCATACTCTATCACAAAATCACTTGCTCTGAGGTAGAAATCGAAATCTTAATCTTTCAGGAGGACATGATAGAAGATCACTGATTATAGTAAATCAATGATCCCAGTAAATTAAGATATATTACATTTCTCAATCAATCTATGATTTAAGGAGATATGGGCTAGAGTGCATTTATTCATTACTATTTTGACAAGATAGTGACATGGGCATGGATGGGGCATCCGATCTGAATGGAAGATTGGAGTCAACCTAATGCCTTGGGTCATATGGTTGACCACATTACAATGTCATAGGCCTCCTCCAGTAGCCCAATTAGCATTGGAGATCAAAATGTTGTACACCAACTTGATCATATTGATGTCTTAGTCTTATTAGATTTTGATAAGTAAAAGTTGTTTATAGGGCTTTACCTCATCGAATGTTGGTAGATGCATGAATGGTGGATCATGTCAAGAATCCATCATCATCCTTCCATGTGGAAGACATGAATGAAGAGGAGCCCTATGTTCTTAAAGAGACCTGTCCTTGGACTCCATCAATGGCCACCATGTGCTGCTAACTCGATGCAAGGCATGGCAGATGGGCACAGATCAGGTGCTAAAGGGAGAAGAGGAAGAATATAACACATGCATGGTTGTAGACTGTCCTATTGCCAAACCTTGGAGATCAATGAGATATCACACTGGGGTTGGTGGTGATGACAACCAATGGATGATTTTATTATGTCGCGAAATCTGTTGGTATTACTATCTAACAATGGTCTCACAGATCAATGAGATATCTCACTGACGTTAGCGGTGATGACAACCAATGGACGATTTTACTATGTCGTGTTACTATCTAACAATGATCCGATTTTTATTTTTTATATTACGACATATCAAATTTACGTCATATAATTATAGCATCATTGTGAAAAATTAACCTTCATGATAATATTCATCTTGAAAATTCAAGTTAATGATGATTACTCATAGCGAACATTATGATAATGTAGCTTAAAATTTTGGCTAATGATCAAAAGATAATTATCTAATGGAGGTTAAGTAATATATGTACACATATAAATGAGGGGATAAATACAAACATCATTATTTTTGAAAGGATGTATACATTTATATAATTTTGATAAAAAATATTAGAGAGAAATGAACAATACCAATAAGTAGTAAAAATATTTTTCAATCAATAAGTTATGGACAAATAAATATATTTTAAATATTTATTTTAAAATAATATTTCTTAATATATAGGTAAAGCTTCATGTTTAGGAAATTCTTATTAAATATTCCCTCACCTATCATCAAACAAGTAATGAATACTAATTGTATCATTGCTGCTAAACATAGTATATATAAATGACATGTCCATTAGAGAGCAAAGGAAGTTTCAATAAAGCAAAAGAAATCTTGAAAAAGAAGATAGTATATTTTTATAAGAATATTTCATAACCAGTCATATGAAATCAATAATAGAATGTATTGCCTTTGGAGTTGAGAAATGATGTATTCATCCAACATCAATCATAGTTATAAAAAGGAAGACATTCCCAATATTATTTCATGTGAGGAATCTCTCTTGCAATCTTGTTCTAAGGGTCCCACAGTTGAGGTGGTCATGACCTCATCCTTGCAAAACCCTAATCATGTTCCACTGCATGGTTCTTCTTTGTGATGAATGGTTGTTGTTGAGTGTGGCTTCCTCTTTTCCATTTCCTTTTCCTTTTCCTTTCACATGCTGTGCAATCCATCTTTAGCTTACTATGGTTGTCAAAGTCCAAAAGATGCATAGATGTGGGTCCAAAATTTTTGTTTCTTTTTTTTATTTTTATTTTATGATAGAAGCTTTTTATTCATTAATTTAAAAAAATAATAAAGATATTTGATTGATGAGGACAAGTGCATCAACAATGACAATTAGATTCTAGCTTGGATTTGGATTGACCATGTCATATTTCCTGTTGTGAAAGATCTTGATTCAACCAAAGCTGATCTTAATTGCCACATAATGTCTTGTCAACATGAATAAGCCCTAAACATGGACATCATCCATTTCAATTTCCACTAAAAAAATCTCAATAAATTATACATCAATTAAAAATAATTTTTAGTCATTATCTGAATTTTGCTATTGTGTACATGCATGCATTAAACTTTAAATCAGTGTAGTTATTCATCTAAACTATTCCTAATAAAAAAATCATATATAATTTTTTTTATGCATATAAGTACTGAACTTTGATTTAGAGAAATGAATATGAAAATGACTTATTTTGGGGGGATGCATGATTGATGTTCCACAACAAGGAACACCCATCTTGGTCTCTGCATGGAATGTGGCAATGAGGCCAAGGTTGTATGCCAAGTCAATGATTCTAAGGTTGTCTGTGATTTGTATCAATTTGCAGATGAGTTAGGTGAACCCAATTAAGGTTCTTGAATGAATCCATTGTGGACCATGAAGATGATGACCTCCACAGGATTCACAGAGGTAAAACCGAGATGATGGGAGGGGTTGATGGACTGGTTGTTGCAGGTTGGCTTCGTCAAGCCTCTCATCTGAATTCTCTCTTCCTCACTACACTTGGCAGGCCAACAGCATCGGAGAGCATTAGGCAACCATGGCTGATGGGAAGCCTCACCTTCTTCTTTGTCTGCCATCACATCTTTCAGGTGGGACTTCCACTTCCGGTTTACCCGTTTGCTTCGGTTGCTCGAGTTCTTTTGAGGTTTATTGCTCTGTTGTTGCAGGTGAAGTGTCCATTTACTCTTGCTTGAGGTGGAGATAATGGTGGGTGGACTTCTCTCTTGATGAACAGAGAGTTGGCGGATGACATGTTCTGCTGAGAAATGACGCTCCTTGGTTTCTGTTGCTGCTTCTTTCTTGTCTATCTTCTGATCGTTTTGATCAGCTTCGTCGTCGATCACGCTTTCAGGTAAGGGAGTAGTGGGAGCTGCTGCTGCTGCTTCGTTCCTCTGCGGCTGTATGTTGAGAGAGCTTGCTGTTTCGGTTTGTGTTGCGTGCAGAGATAGGGGAGGAGGAGCTTCGCAGAGAGATGAGCGCGAAGGTCCGCCTGAATCCTTGGGGGAGAAAGAGGAATCGTGCGTCAGGTTTAAGTTCCAGCATCAGATATCGAATTACCAGAGAGGCAATTGCGATGAGGAACCAGAAGCTGCGGTACCTGTTGATGGAGGAGATGAGTCTTCTCACGGCTTCTCGTCCGAAAAAGACTTCCGCGGGTTCATGGAAGAGCCGAAAGCCGCAACCTCTTGTACCGAGCTCGATTCAGGAGAAGAAGCAGCAGCTGCTGCCGATGATGATGCCGTGCACAATGCCAGCGATTCGATCGAGATCAAGGACAAGATATTGCCGAGAAATTATGAGGTCGTGGAAGAGAATGGAGCATGTTCTTTGTCGGAGGAATTCTCCGGCTTCGATTCGGAGACCGACTCCATTAGCATGAGCGATGGTTACTCGGTGCACGACCTCGTCGTGGACTCAGATGGTTTCTTGTCCGAGAGAGACTTCGATGGAGAAGAAGAACAGCTGCGGAAGAGTCTGAACCAAGAAGAAGAAGAAGAAGAAGAAGAAGCTGATGACAGGCTTCAAGAAACAACGAATCTGCCATGTTCTCATGCACCCCAAATCGAGTTCACCGATTCCAGTGACGACGATCTTGATTCGACGAGCAGAGGTTGCAGTCCTATGAAAAGCCCTGAGGAAGTCCTCGATGCAGAAGAGGCAGGAGACGAACCAGATGCTGCTGCTGATGAGTCGGAGAAGAAGAATCAGTTCAAGGTGTCAGAAGACGAGGAGTACAGCGAGCTGGAGCTGCTCTGGGAGCACCAGGACCTGATAGAACAGCTGAGGATGGAGCTGAGGAGAGCGAGGGACATCGGTCTGCCGACGATTCTGGAGGAGTCAGAGAGCCCCCGAACAGTGGAGGATCTGAAGCCATTAAAGATGGACGAGAGCTTCCTTCACGAGGATCCACTGGACGAGCTGCACAGGGCTTACAGGAGCTACAGGGAGAGGATGAGGAAGTTCGACATCCTCAACTACCAGAAAATGTACGCAATAGGTCAGTCCAAATCCTTCTCCTCCTCCTCCTCTCTCTCTTCCTCTCGCCATTGATTACATGCAGTAAGTAGTAACCATCAGCGTTCCTCCTCAATTTCCAGGTTTCCTGCAGGTGAAGGATCCTCTCAGATCACTGGGACCTCGAAAGACATTAGCCTTAGCAATCTCATCCATCCTCTCCCAAAGCTTCTGGTCGATTCGTCGAAAACCCAGCTCCGAACCTTCAGACAAGTTCATCAAGGAGCTTCAGAGTGACCTGGAAGTGGTGTACGTTGGCCAGACATGCCTGTCATGGGAGTTCTTGAGATGGCAGTACGAGAAAGCTCGGGAATTGCCGGAATCCGATCCATACCGAAGCAACCACTTCAATCAAGTGGCCGGAGAATTCCAACAGTTCCAAGTCGTCATCCAGAGATTCGTCGAGAACGAAACATTTCAAGGGCCGAGGCTGCCAAACTACATCAGAAACCGATGCGTTCTCCGAAATCTTCTCCAAGTTCCTTTGATCAGAGGTAAGCAACCTCCGAACCGCATCTGTTGCTCCTGCCAACCATCAACCGAAGGCCAGTTTTGTTGCAGAGGATGGAGCGAGAGAGAAGATGGAGGATCACCAGAAGGGATGCTATGACATCACAAGTGAGATGATAGAAGATGTCATGGAGGAATCCATCAGGATCTTCTGGGAATTTGTCAAGGCAGACAAGGATGAAACCCCAGGTATTCTGAAAGGGTTCATGGGAGCTCATGTCGACCTGCAAGACCCATCAGACTTTGACCTCATGGAAGACATCCAATCCGATCTCCGCAAGGTGGTGCATGCTTCTCCAGTTCTTCGACTGTCTCTACTCTTCTCCTGTAATCTCCTCTTGTTTGGTGCAGAAAGAGAAGAAGCTCAAAGACATTGTAAGAACCGGCAACTGCATAGTCAAGAAGTTCAAAAGGCCAAAGGAAGATCGATCAAATCAGGACCTCTTCTTCTCCCAAGTAGACCTGAAGCTGGTGGCGAGAGTGCTGAGAATGTCTACAATCACAACCGATCAATTGGTGTGGTGCCACAAGAAACTGAGCAAGATTAGGATGGTGGAGAGAAAGATCTACAGGGAGCCTTCCTTCTTGCTATTCCCATGTTGATCTACACAGAAAGATTCATTAAAATTCTTTCTTACAGCATCATTTTCTGTACGAAATTGGTGTGTTCTCCACACATTGTTAGGCAAGATGTCACCTTCAACAAATGTGAATCCAAAACCTGAATTGGTCAACAACAACAAGCTGTTTCCCTTCTCTCAGAAAACAGAGTCTCTTGCGTTGTTCTCAGAAAACATCATCTGCTGGGTGATGATTAGATCGAGTATGGCACATCAATGGATAATTAGATGTGATACGACGAGGACTGGATCACCATGGCAGGCTGGGGGGGGGGGGGGGGAGGAGAAAGGAATCTTGGACTCCTCGTCGTCACCGATGATGGAGAATGACACGGGGTGAGGACAAGGAGGCTGTTGTTGGATCTCTCTTTGCGGATGGAATCGACAGAGCGGAGAAAGCGATGCACAACAGTGACGAAGCCCGTGGATGGGACCTCGGGCGCGGGCTGTAACACCACCACCAGTGGGAACTAAGGGACAGCCGTGGTTCACATGCCGTCTGTTGTTGCTGGTTGCCGCCATTAATGAGAGCTTGGAGCCTTGCAAGCAAGCTCATATGCTTGCTTCCGAGGGATCACAGGAGGTGGATTTTGGCTGCGTTTTCTGGCACCAGAAAGAACAAAGGCCAAAGTCTCAGAGCACTCACACAAAGACTTCATCTTCTTCCTCCGAGCCCGAGCTATGACTTCCATTTGCACTACTCTCTGCGATCATAAAGAACAGTCAATAAAGAAACACACTTCCTCTACCCAAAAAAAAAGGGGAAAAGAATCTGAAAATAAATTTAGATTGAAGATCTGAAAATTACTTTACTTCAAAAAACATATTTGAAATCTTATGCTGATCATATATATGTCATAAATCTCATATTTATGACATATATATATATATATATATATATATATATATAATCTTTTAATGATATCTACCTTTTATGTTCTCTTTAGAGTAGATAAAAAGCTTAGGCTTCTTATTTTTAGTTTACATTAACCTAATTAACTAGTAATTGATGGAAATGTCTTTTCTAGTTATTAAAGATGAAGAAAATAGAAAAATATTATTTGATTTATATAACAAATAAAAAATATTTTTTTGGTTATTAAAGAGAGGGAAAATGAGAAAAATTATGAATTGATTTCAATAGAATTGTAACCAATATAAATAAAATAATATATTGTGTCAAGAATGGGATTCGAACCCATGCCCTTTCGGACCAGTACCTGAAACTGGCGCCTTAGACCAACTCGGCCATCTTGACGTTGGTGTGATGGTGATGATCTTTCTAATATTTAGATTCTGAGTGTGGAAGATTCACGGTTTTATCCTTCTTGCTGCTTTTGTACGTGACATTGCCATCTTTTCCACGTACTACTCTGGCCATAGTTTCTCCGAGCAAATTGGAGGCTTCGGTTGCGTACAATCTGTTTGATTGAATGACAAGCTCACCTAGGGATTGGATTTTGGTGTACTCATTCAGCTAATACTTCCACTGCTACTGCAGAACATTGTAGCAAGGATAAGAAGAGGGGTGTCGTTCGTGTGAACACATCCACGGGATGGCGGCGATCGCCTCCTCGTCTCTGTCGTCTCCTGTCCACGAATTAATACAGACCGACGTGTGAAGGATCAGCACCTCATCATGCAGACGTGGGGTGTACGTCTCTTCCTTTCCTCTTCCACAGCCTCGCCCATAAGTATGGCGACGCAGACAGCTGCAGCACGTACTCGTCGGCTTCACCCCGAGATGAAGCCTTCCGTAACCCTTCTTCTGCTTCTTCTTCTTCTTCCCCTCCTGGCTGCCCAAGATTTCGACTTCTTCTACTTTGTTCAACAGGTCCGCTAGTAGTGATCGATCTTTCTTCTTCTTAATGCTTCGATGCTAACCATGTTCTCCATGCAGTGGCCGGGCTCGTACTGCGACACCAAGCAAAGCTGCTGCTACCCTTCCACCGGGAAACCAGCGGCCGACTTCGGCATCCACGGGCTGTGGCCCAACTACAACGATGGCTCGTACCCGTCGAATTGCGACCCTAAGAGGCCTTACAATGCGTCCGAGGTGCTTCGTTTTCGTCTCCTCTGCCGCTGTTGATGCTTGTCGCATGGTCCCGTGACATGGATGGATTCTTGATGTGCAGATCAACGATCTAATGGGGAGAATGCGATCGAGCTGGCCAACCCTAGCTTGCCCCAGCGGCGACGGCTCCCGTTTCTGGAGCCACGAGTGGGAGAAGCACGGCACCTGCTCGGCGTCCGTCCTCGACCAGCACTCCTACTTCCAAACGGCTCTCGACCTCAAGAAGCGAGTCAACCTCCTCAAGCTTCTGCAAGACGCAGGTACGTACCACAAGCTTGTGGCGTCCTCCAAAGGATGGCATGCGTGACGCCATGGTGCTTGCTGCATGCTGTTGCAGGTGTTCGACCAGACGGCGGCTTTTACGGCCTGGGGGACATATCTAGCGCCATCGGAGATGCCATCGGCTACGCTCCCGGAATCGAGTGCAACGCCGATGAATTCGGGAACAGGCAACTGTATCAGATCTACGTGTGTGTGGATACTTCGGGGAAGGAGCTCATCCGGTGTCCTGTCTACCCTACGACTAAGTGCTCTTCCCGAATCGAGTTCCCTCCGTTTTGAGAGGTCAACTTATATGTATCTAATAATAAATATTATTTCGGCACAAAGCTACTTCAAGAATCCCATAAACATATGCCAAAATAAATAGAATCTATCCCTTATATATATATATATATATATATATATATATATATATATATATATATATATATAGTAAGATTATTCATCTCTGATGTAGCTCAAATAAAATAAAAAAAATTATAAATAGATATTAAATATGTATTTTTAAATATTTTTTTAAAGAAGAGATATATGTTAAATAATTCTTAGTTTTATTATTCATAAATAAGAAGATAATATGTAAGTTAAAGAGGGCTTTTTATGTGCTCAAATATGTCCTGCAAACATGAAATTTTCTAATCGATATTTGTTTTATTTAAAATAATTTTTATGAATGCCCACGTGAATATATTTTTTATATAAAAACTAACTCTAAATGCTTGTATGCAGATGATTTAATTTTTATTATCATTAATCTCTCCGTGAGTAAAGATTTTAAACTTTCGATGAAAAAATAGTTCGAGGTGATTGACTTGGGCCTAATGATATTTAGTGGGCATCAAAGTTATATGAGATAATAAAAACTATTTATTTCATGAACATATTATATTCTAAAAAAGTTCTTCATAAAAGATTAAGTAAATTTATGAAAAAATCAAAAACATCTCATTTGAATGTTGCTAAGGGGATATTATGATATAATAAAGGAATAATTAACTATGACATAGTCTACTCCTCATGTAAGAAGCTATATTTTATTAAATATAGTGAGATTTGTATTTTATCTTGGTGAATATGCATTCATATAGTTTTTGAAGAAACATTTTAAAATATCAATATGGATATAGTAGCCTTTTTTATTTGTAATGCAATTTGACTACAAAATTACTTCATGTAGTTCATATATAATAAGAAAATCCAATCAAGATTAATATTGATAATAAGTTAGTTATTATCCTAACAAAGGATCTAATCTATCATGAAAGATCGAAGTAGGTTGATACAAGATTTTATTTTATAAAAGATTGTGTCAAAAAACAAAGAAATAAGTGATATATATACTCACAAAGCCTCACAAATTTGAAGTATTTCTACAACTATGAATGAAACTTGACATGTTATGAAATAAATTTAAGAGGGATGAATATTGAAATTAAACTTATGTCATTCCTTCCCCCAAGTACCATAAAGAAATTTATTATTGTAAGAAGTGAAACACATTAAAGAGCATATAGAAGAATGAACTAAATTGACTATTAGTTATTGAAAGATGAAAAAAAGTTTAGAAAAGATATTCATATTAAATATAATGAATATGAAGTATTTATGGAGAATACATAAACCCTATGTCTTGGGTCATGAAGGTCATAGTGTTGAAGTTATGGTGAGTTTACTTTTAATAAAATAAAGTAAACTATGGCTCCTATCCATCAAATTGTGACTTTGATAGGTTTTACAATAAAGTGAATGAGCTTGAAATTGAAAAAGATAAGTAGTAGCACTAAGGATGCTAGGATTTAATAAATCTAGATAAGTATAAAATAATTAAGAAAAACAAGAAGAGTTAGAAGACCCACTTTGGATGGAAGGATCAAAAATAAAATATTTCAAGAGATAGTCATAAATAAAATATAATCAAAGGGTTAGATCAATCGTATTCCCTGAGTTAATACATCACTGATGCTTTAAAGATAAGGCACATTAATCACTAATATTCTTAGCCTTGAACAATGAAATGATAATGGAGTGGATGGTTATTGTTGACTAGAGCTACGTTGGAATGATGGTGTTGTTTCTTTTGATGATGGTGTTATTGATGTAATAGTGATGATATTACTGTGATGGTTGAGGATGACGAGAGAAGAAGAAAAAGAAAAAACTAGATAAAGATAAAACTTCTCACCCTTGAGAACTCTCTTATTGCTTATATATCACACCTAAGATCCTTAATGGCTATAAGCTCTCAGCTCTTCTTCAAGTGGCAAAAGAACAGAAGCCGTCTCAGATACTCACTCGAGCTGTTGTACTTCTTAATCACTTTGGAAATCTTCGATGTTGTGGTAAATTCTCCAGATTTTTCACAGTGCTGAGCTTGAGAAATTTCATGGACTGATGAGGTTTCCTCGGCATTGGTAAAAGCAGCTGACACAGTACTATTAGCTTCAAAGTCCCATTTTATCTTGGAGTTTGGCAACATCCTTGAATGCTCCAAGTAACTGTTCTTCATGCTCACTAATGCAACTGCTCAGAGCCTTCTCTATCTGTGTTCCACATTCCATCAGATCTACATTCTTTTGAACAGTTTGGAATGACAATGTAGAACAACTATCTGAAGTAGCTGCTAGAGTGCCATCAAGTTTTGTCTTGCCCAATTCTTGGACATCAGCATCCATAACATCACATTTAGCTGCAACTGTCTGTGGCACACTAACTTCTTCCTCCAGTTTGGTTTCCAAGGTTTCATTCTTTCCAAGGACATTAGAACAATTTCCAGCAAGCATCACAACAGAGGATTGTGGCTCTGAATGAGCATGATCAGCAAAAAGATTCATATCTGATTCGGCTTCCGGTTCAGAAGGTAGAAGACTCTCTTTTTGCTCAACAATTACATTGTGACATGGTAGTAGATTTGCCCGATTCGCGTCTTCCCGTGAATAAGCACCTACTGCTTCCCACGTACATGATACCGAATATTAGCTGAACTAGTATAATTGTTTTCAAAAATAGTAATTTCACAAGTAAGCAAGAAGAAGAAAAGCTAGAAAAGATGAGACCATATGAATGGAAAACATGATGAAATCAAGAAACTCCATACAGATATAAGCATCTCAAAGAATTAAATTGCTCTAATTGAACTTGGTCACATGAAAAAACACCTACCATTAAGTGATTGTTCTGCATCAAGAGAAATATAGGGATTTGATGCTTCTGCTGGTTCAGTTATGATTGGTAAAACATCAGATAGAATGAACTCTACTGCAGCATCAACATCTTCAGAATATTCAACAGCGACAGCCCTAAGTATTCGGAGATCAATCTGCAGGGAAGTAAAAAAGACACCAATTATAATGTCATTGATAGCAAAAGAGCAACCTAAATATCAAAATTCAACTTCCTCTGAATTTATAATTTACAAAGTCAAGATCCCAGGCAATCTTTAAATATCCAGACCTCAATTAATCAAACTAGCAATAGAACATATAAGGAATGAAGAATTCTTCTAATAAATAAGGTGGTGGATGTGGATGTGTCCTACAGATATATTAACATCACAGTATATAACAATGTAAATTTCTGAAATGCATAAAGTTGTAACATTCTGCATAATGAAGCAAGAAAACAATTTTAGAATAATCAGCATTCGATGTTCAGGGTATTACAGTCTCCCCTGCTTAACCTTCCAAAGGCGAAAACCAGGGACATATCCACGATCATGAAGTCTAGTAGTTCTATGCAAGTCAATGAAACTCATAATTAAGTAACACATAAGGGCCTGATTGATGACATCGTGTAATGCAATATGCATTGGGAAATCACACCAAAAGGTACAAACTGATTTTACAAGTGTAAAACTTTAAACAAAGATCAGTGATTATTTCAACCTTGGAACTGTACACTGTCTCCACATTATCTCCATTCTGATCGTTTAAGAAATTATGACCACTTGAATGATAGTCTTGTTATGATCTATAACATATTTCAACTAATGGTTTCACTAAAATGATGATTACAGTAATAATGTCAGCAACACATTTTTTGAAATTTGACACTACTGCACTACAATTGTAAGGATTATTTCTTTTCTGCATAGAATGAACCTATAGTTTCCTAGTTTTTGTTGCTCCCTCTTTCTGGCACATACTAGTTTGATATTTATTCAAGCATATGAACTGAGGCTAATTATAATTGGAGTTGTAAATTGATGTTTTATCAGACTCATGCTCTTGTTGTTTCCTTCTTCTGTACTAAGTAAATTTTCCATCAGTTCCTAGAAAATTGGATGACAGAAGAGAAACCATTGATGTTGTTACCAATAATAACACAATAACATAGCATGCCGACCTATTTGAGGATCATATACAATTCACACAATAAATATTAAACAATTTCTATAGTTCCACAAACTATTGTCCCGCATCTATGGGCATCATTCTTGTATTTGAGTAATTATAGTACTGGTCATGATTCTGACAAACACGACATCTGAACAACAATCATTCAGTTGGGGCTTACTATGCATTCCAATGAATCTCTGGTCAAGGCGGCGTGATCTGATATTACTGTCTGAGGTTTGTTAACAAGATTTGAGATGGGGAGACCGTAATATCCCCGATCCAATTAACCTTACATTGGTGGAGGGCTGTAGTTTTGATTAATACATGAGTTCTTGAGTACTACTTTTGGGAATTATCCCATGATGTCCAACAGTAGAAACACGAGAAAGAACATGACACTAACTAGCACTAAAGCAATTCCAACAGTCAGACCTCCGTTTGGTTGGTGTCCATAAAAATGTCTTTTTTATTGATTATACTAACATGGCCTCATACCTGCGGGAAGACCTCCTGCAGAGCACGAAGCACCGACTTCAGAGTCATGATTCGATAGCTAATACGCCCTCTGCAATAGACAAGTTGAGAACCAAATCAGTCGAGGCGAAATAGAAATCGATAAATAGAATTCCGATCACAACAAAAGGCACATAAAAAGAAACACGATTGAATTCTCACCGGAAAAGATCCAAGAAAGGAAAGGAAGAAAAAGGAGAACACGAGAAGGATGAGCAAGGGCAAGGGAAAAGAACTTGTAGGGATATGGATCGATCGGAGAGGGCAAGCTAAGGAAGAGAGACGACTCGGGGTTGACTTGGAGATCAACGAAGCAAGCGACTTCAGCGGACTTCGTGCCCTTTCTTCGCCTATAAATAAGATATGAGAATATGGATTCGCGTAGGAATCACGGACGTATGCAAGAGATTCCTTGGTCGTGTGCGTTGCACGTGTGTCTGAAGAGACGCAAATTTATGTGGAAATTGGATTATTTTATTTAGGGTAATTTCTCACAAAGACCCTCTATTATTTCCTTTCCTCAGAGCACCCCATTTCGTTT